AACATAATCGATGTAACGGTAAAATTGATTGATAGTAATATTGATAATAACACTAATTAATTGTTACAATATCCTGCTCTATAAATTTTCCTTAAAAAGTTCAAAAGTGGATCATATAATGTTTAGCATTTGAAGCACTCCAATTGAACATTTTACAACTATATCTATTCATATTCCTTTTCCCTTTAGTCTATTACTTGTAACATCAACCAAAATGTCATTTTTTGGCAAAAAAATTATTCAAATATCACGCGAACAGTACTTATTACGTAATTCACTACGACCGGCAGCGAATTATGTTTGTCAATAATTTTTTGACACCGTGACATATTTTTGCATAAAAAAGCTGACTAGACGAAATTCGCTACTAGTAATAACGAATTTGGTACGTAATGTGGCCATGTGTCATGAAATCATAAGCGACGAAAGTCACTGCCTGTCGTAACGAATTGCATCGAGTGACAATCTGATAAAAAATACTATTTATGTGATATTTGATTAAAAAAATGTCAAAAAATAATACTTTTGATCACTGTTCGCTATTGCTTACCATTGCCAAAGTCAATAAAACTATTTACGAATAAAAAATCAAAATCAAAATCGTAGCTATAAATATCGAAAAAACTATTTAAAAAGTTAACAGAAATATAATATAGAAATTTATACGGACAAATCTTGACATCCTGGAATCCCATTAACTGCAGCATGGTAAGTCTACGGTGAAAGCATTTGAAGTTTTGAACTCAAACTCAACTCAACTCAACTCTGAGCCTTGTTGGGTTGGCAATGTCTAATCCATCAACTATGCATAATAAATTCTTGACCTCAGAAAGACCGCTGACATGATTCATAACGCAATCAAATCTTACTCTGCATCTGAGTATTTTGTGACTCAAGATTGTGTAAACAGTGTTATACTTATTAAACGGGAGAAATTATTACATTACACTGTTTTATCATATATATATATATATATATATATATATATTGTTTATGCACATAGAAAATTGTGATTTATAATTAGGGTTGGGTAACTTAAAAAAAAAAAAATTTGTGATTTACATGCGACCCCCGAAAATATGTTTTGTTTGCTATTGGTCCCCGCATATACTCACGAATAGACATCTTAAAATGGGAGGAATATTTGAATAACTTAAGAAAATGTACTGGAGCGGCTGACTAAACTGAAATACGTAACATTTTTTGGTTTTTAGTTTGCTAAATTGAGTTTGGGTGAAAAAGTAATTTTAATTTTTTTTCTTCAATTAAGGTTTTTAGATACAAATACATTACTTACAAATATTTTAAAAGCGATTTTATCAACCATGTACGAGGTAAGGGAAACCTTGAGCTTGTTTGACTGTGTTCTGATTTTTTTTGTTCTTAAAACTGTTTTATAAAATAATTATGGAAACAGTTATTTTCTATATATTTTTTTTTTTGAAAGTTAAAAATCAAAACAGAAAACAAAAACAACTCAGACATGTTTTCTAAATTTGATTTTAAAAAAAAAACAGTTATAGTTTTCAAAACATTTTTTACAAAACAGATCTTATCAAACGAGTTTTTTAATTTTTTTTGTTCTGAAAATTAAAAAACTGTTTTGCAAAACAGAAATCAAACAAAGCCTTACTTTGCAGTTCTCAAATAATGATTTTGTGTACAAACTGTAAACTAAACATACTTTAAATATACTTTGACTTGACTTCATTAGATTTAATTTAACTCAGTCAGTCACTTCAAAAAATATTAAAATTAATTACTATTTTTTTAAAATTAATCAAAATTTTATTTTAAATAAAATATATGTATTTTAAGTAATAAACTCAAAATATTTCAATATATATAAGTTAATTAAAGTATAGTACACGTTAATTAATAAAATATAAAATTGACATATTTAAAAAAATAGTTATAAGAAAAAAATAAAACCAACCGGTAAGTTTGAGTAGGAGTAACCCCTAATTCATAAAGGATCAGACTATATATGCCAACAAATGCAACAATTAATTAGTTCACACTCGATTTGAATTTATTTAATACGCAATTTAAATTTAACAGAAAAATAATTAATTTTAATAACACCTTAGACCATAACATCAAGGAATATTAATTAACTATACGGCAAAGCAATCTGTCACCAAATTATAAATTAATTTGTGGAAACCAACATTTAAAATAAGAATTTTATAAGAGTTATGTTGTAGGAAAAATGATTGTGTAATGTTATAGAGATTCGTTTTGCTTGCTTTAGTTTTTTATTTTTTATTTTTGGCTTTAAAAAGTGAGGACCCCACAAAATGTTGTGTGTGTAGAAAATTTTTTTGTGTAATGTTAAAGGACAAACTAAAATCCCTTAAAATAAATAAATCAATACACATATTATTTATTAATGTCCGGAACTATAGCATAATTGTATTTATAATCGGCCGCTTCCTAATTCAAGCAGTCATATACATGTGAAGCAATAATCTCTTAATTAAGTACACTTCATAAACTCCCATTTCTCATGAAAACTGAAAACATATAAGTGTTGCCAACAGTTTCATCTAATGAGCATTCGCTACTCAATTAATTTTCGAACTCTTAAACCCACAAAACATCCTACCAGTTACAAACCACCATACCTATCTCACACAAATTATCTTCCACAAGCAATTCTGTATTCAGAATGATCTTAATTAAATGATGTAATCTTAGTGAGACGGGCACCGCAATAATGATTTATATCTTATTCGATAAAATAATATTTATATATGATCTTATGTAATCACTAAAATAATACTTGCACATTATATAATCTTATACATGTTATTAAATAATATTTCAATTTCATTATATTTTTTAAATGATCTAAATTATACACATACCCCACATAAGAAATCCGTAAATTCCGAGTAACCTACTAACCAATGTTATTAGAACTGGACTGGTCATTGACCCGGTCGAGGTACTGAGTTATTGGGTCAATAGTTCAACCGATGGGTCACTGGTTGAACCGCATAAACCGCATATATATATAAATTTATATTTTATACTTAATTATATAATAAATATTTTAAATGATGTCATCTAAACAATAACTTGATGTAGTTTAGTGGTATTTGCTAACTTGATGTAGTTTAGTGGTATTTGCTATGTGGTATAAGTGGTTCGAATTCCATTAGATACAATTTTTGAAATAATTCTCTTAACTTAATAGTTATATAATAAAGATATTAAATGATGTATTTTTTCAACCCGTGACTTAGTGGTATGAAAAGGCACTTCTCACTCTAATCTGCTGGGTTCGAATATGATGATCTAGTGGTATGAAAAGGCACTCCTCACTCCAACGTGCTGGATTCGAATCCGATCTTAATAAGAGTGCTACTATCTCCCTCGTTAAATTTAAATCAATAATAAATGGGAAAAGTGTCTATCATTTAAAATTACACAACTTACATCCTTTCACTCTCACAAAGAGGTGGGACCCACACCTTTATTTTTTTTTGTTAACTCTTTCTCCTCCTTTATCTATCTCTTTCTCTCTCTTAAAATGACACAACTTTACATCCTTTAAAATTATACACACTTTTCCCATAATAAATATACTCTTATTTATATATTTTATAAAAAAATTCTTTAGGTTTATTTTTTTATTTTTTCTTTCCGCTATCTTGTCTTTGGGTTAAGAACATTTTTCGATGCGATGCCACACTGAGCATGCAGAGGTTTTTTTTCCTTCTTTTTTTGGTACAACTTGTGCAGAAAACAGGCTTGATCTTATGTACGTGCGCAACACTTGATCGGAAAAAGATTTGTACTACCGTATTTCTTTGGCAAAGGGATTGGCAGTCAAACAAAACAATCCTATCCTTGACGACACCCTTACGCGCCACAACTCAATCTCATCAATCATCGTACACAATTACAATCCTCGTCATCAACATCACAGTTCTGTCATTCTTAATTCCCTCAGTACCCTTTACTATGTCCCTAATACCTCCACAATCCCTCCCTCCCTCCCTTCAGCCATAATTCAAGCTACACACACAACTAGAGGTCCAGTGTCTGTAACTTTAAAAGCGCGAGACATCCTACGAAGCACCATGTTAACGTAATACTTTAAAAGAAGATGTCTTTATCTTTTTAAATGAAATAATTTATGTTATTTCATTCTTATAAAAAGATAAAATCTAAATCTTTATTTTTTTTGTCTACTTTCTCTTACATGATTTATATCTTTTTTCACTTAGAACGACATAACTTTTTTTTTTTTGGTATATTGCCAGGAGGTATTTCCATTCAACCTTCTCCGGGCACCATGCCCTCGAGGTACGGCCCGTTTAGGCTAGCCCCTTATTATAACAAAACGACATAACTTTACATCCTTTTAAATGATACATATTTTTTCCAAATAATAATTACTTCTAGAATATTATTTTTCATGTTACATCTTATACAACATAAAAAAAAACCTATTGTATCATATAACATAAAAATATGGATGAGACTATTGTTTCATATTACATGAAAAATAATATCTTAATAATAATAATATAATAATGTTAAAGAAGTATATAAATTCATGAATAGACCTTCACTTAAAAGTTTAAGTTTTTTTGGTTGAATTAATATCTCACATAGTATCATATTCTGGATTCAATCCTGATCGCCTCCTATTTTTTCTTGTGAAATTTCTTAACACATGTAGAAAAACATGTCCATTGTCCATCGTTCATATCTAATGGTATAAAATTATTGATGAGTTTTCACTCAACAACTTAAACTTTTAAATTAAATTAATTTTTTACAAAAATAATAATTACAAATTGTGTCTAGATTGTTTATTCAGTTTTCATATATACAGTTTGTGTCAGTATACCATAACTACTAGGGAACACCGGTTTTTTATTTTTTATTTTAATTTTTTACATCTCTCTCTCCCTTCTCATCTTATAATCTGATTCATTTCCTCGATAAAGGCTAGATGACTTGAAACGGGCCTAGGGATGTTCATGATCTTCCCCCATGGGAAAGACAAGCGCGTAAGTATGCTGGATTACGGTCTTGTCCAAATTGACAGCAATATCTATATTTCACATCTCTCTATTAATAAAAATCCCATTTATTTATTTCATAGATAAAATAAAATCATAATTTCAATTTTTCATTTTTCATTTTAAATTGACTAAAGTGGTATAAATATTGTTTTCAGGTTATGAGTTTCACAAGCCAATAGCCATCACTGAAATGCTTCATCAAGCACCCGAATCACTGAACCTTGTTGTGGTTCAAACATTCCCCACCATAACCCGTTTCCCATTTGAACCATACCCGGGTCCAAATCACTTCGTCAAGTTGCTCTCTCCTTCAGCTCCACATCATGCAGAAACCAACGAAACGAAAGATCTCGAAGGAATAGCTGCCATTGTTGGACAGCACGTCCTCTTCGGAGACAAAAACGACAAACCCAGTGAACACAAAACGGCAACGACCATTCCCGCGACACAAAACGATAACCTTTCGGTAAGTAAGAGATACAGAGGAGTGAGGAAGAGACCATGGGGGAGGTGGTCGGCGGAGATACGCGATCGAATCGGTCGGTGCCGCCACTGGCTCGGCACCTTCGACACAGCCGAGGATGCGGCGCGTGCGTATGACGCTGCGGCGAGGCGCTTGAGAGGCTCCAAAGCTCGAACAAACTTCGAGATACCCTCCGTTTTGCCTCTCTCTTCGCCGACAACTTCGTCTTCTTCGACCTCGGAAGTGAAGAAGATGACCAGTGGCGGGACTCATAAACCTAAAACCGTACGAAGCAGCGCTATAAGGAAATGCTCTGTGGTTACCTCTGTGGCTCAATTGTTCAGTGAGGTTCCTGAAGTTGGGAGAGGTAATAATAATAATCACCATCATAGCAATGTGGAGCTTGACTTGAAGTTAGGTGTGAGCTCTGTTGGGAGAAACACTAGTGATTAATTAATGGTGTTGTAGGTTAAGTAGGTGGTGGAATATGTATATGCTTAGCTATGTTTCTTTTTGTTTATGGGGTGGTTGTTTTTTTTCGTTATGGTGGTTTTTGATGAATCTGTGTAATCAATGTTCATGCTTTTTTTTGATGAATTTGAATGAGAAAGTGGGTTCAGGGCTGGGAGTTTTTTATGTTGAAGCACATTGTTCTAAGGGCAAGGGGCCATTTGGTTAAGGAAATTTTTTTGGAATAGTAGGGAAATGAGATAGATAGAGAAATGATGGAAAAGATAGATAAAGTGAAAATATAAAAAAAGGTTGTTTGGTGGGAAAAAATTTTACTGGGAAAATTAGGTAACTTTATGAAATCAACAGTGCATTAAAAGCCAGATAATCGGTTTTTCGAAAAATTTCACCTTCAAATTGAGTTTCTAAGCAGTACGGATATCTATGTTTCTCATAAATCTAGACAAATTAGATAGATGGATTTTTGGTGAAAAACGTTGAAACAAACATGGTGTTTCTAAAAGCCATACTTGAGAAAGATAGATATCCGCTAAAAAGTTTCCGAACAAACACCACTTAAGAGTATTTTGGCTAGTGTGTATATATAACTGCAGAAAAGGTACAAGGATATTAAGCTTCTAAGGGTAAATCTATGGTTATGGGTTGAAGTACATGCATTGCATAAAAAAGTATACAGTTCTGACTTTCTAGTTTCTATTCCTTGTCTTCTATTTGGGAGTTGCAGTTGCAGAATCAGTTACAACGAGAGATCAAACAACATATGATGGGGCCAGGCCAGGCTAACAGAGAGTACTACAACGACGTTTATTTTCTTATTCATTTTACTCTCAAATTTTCAGAGGTTTTAATGGTAAAACGAAAATAAAAAATGTCTTCAGAGAGGGCATGGACACAAGTGAAACGATGTTGTGTCACCAAGGACTGCAATCTTACGCAATCTTCAGTTCAGCTGAAGCGTGTGGGGACCCTACATTATTATTATTATTATTATTTTGTGTGGCTCTCACGCTTCACTTCTAACTTTTCTCTCTGTGTTGAATATATATATTTATCTCCCACTTTCCAAGATTACATGCATTTGGCAGTATACCAAGCCAAATGATCCAATCTCAAGAAATTAATACGAATACCAATCATCATCCTGTCAAGTACAGAGTACAAATTAACTTTGGAAGAGGGAAGCAGTGAAACCACAAGTGCGACGCTCTTATCTTGATCCTTTTATTTTTAGTTTTCCTTTTAAAAAAAAATAATAATAACTTTTTTTTATATTAAAGAAAAAAACAAAAAATTCCTAAAATTTTTAGGAGGAGTTTTTTTAAGCTCTTATTAATTTTTTTTTGAATTATATATATTTTTTAAAATGAGAAGTCATAGAAATAGAGAGATTTTTCTTGAAATATATATTTTTAATTAATTTTTAAACTAAAATTTTTATGTAATCTTTAAATAATTTTTAAATTTTTTTAAGCTCTTTATTTTAAGGAAAAAGTTCACCAATGACCCTGTGGTTTACTCCCGAATCATCTATGCCCCTATGATATTTTTTTTATCACATATGCCCCTGTGGTTTGCAAAAGGGTATGTTTTTTTTATCATATATGCTCCTGTGATTTTTTATTTTTTACAACTACAGGGACATATGTGATAAACAAAAAATCAAAGAGACATAGGTGATTCTAAACCAAACCACAAGACGGACATCGGTCAACTTTTTCCTTATTTTAATTGTCAAATTGAAATCGGACCTGAATCTTCCGAAGTTGAAAAAATGGGGCAGCAATTGTGCTTGTTGATCCAGCTGCTTATGCTCACTCAATTATGTATTTTATTAATATCTTATTATACAAATATAATTTTGAAGGTTTAAATTTTATGCAGTTTAAAAAGAGCTGTATATAATATGAAGCTTGACTTAGGTGAGAATATGAATTTTAAAGATGAATAAATTGTCAAAAGAATAGGCATTTAAATTTTAGAGAGGACCTTTTAAGCCATTAAAACAACAGTTGGATTAGTCTCGTATAGGGAATTTTTTTTGAAAAAACAACTACTTGCAAAGTTCCATTAAAGTATTGCAATCAGTTCCACAGATTGTGTGCAACTGGTTGCGCATCAAAACAAGCACGTTGGGAGATCATTTGTAAGCGTTTTTGTGTGCGATAGAAAGAGACACAACTGATCTCTTAATGTGCATGTTTGAAGGAGAGATAAAGAGTGTGATGTTATTATTACAAAAAAAAAAAAAAAAAAGAGTGTGATGTTATTACAAGCCCAAAGGGTCTTTTTTTTTTTTTAAATAGTAATTATGTAGTCATTTATTTGTATTTATTTAGTCCGTTACTTGTATATTGGGCCAAGCCCATTAGGTCAAAATTAGGTCAAGAAGTCTCTATAAATAGAGACTCCTATGTACAGATTCAAATAAAAAAATCAAATATATTTCATAATCCTTTTTCAAGTTGGTATCAGAGCTCTCGATCCTGAGGATTCTGCTTCCGCGCCTATTGTCTTTTTTACAAAACCCTAATTTCTTTGCCTGCTGCCGCCATCAGCTGCCACCGGAATATTTTTTCCGGAGACCTTTTGGACCAAGGGGACCACTGTTGACCTTCTTTTTTTTCGTTCTATCATTCCACGCAACGTTCCTCCGCCACAAACGACCCAAACACCTCCGACCGCCTTCAACCAGTTCTGTCTTCACCGTTTAGAACCTTTTCCGGTGACTTTTCAACCGCAACCACCCACAGACAGGTGCGCGCTCACCGGAAAAATTTCAGCCCGAGAAGCCTTGCCACGCGCTCTCACGCGCCGCCTCTTTATTCGAGAGTGAAGCCCACGCGCAGCTGCTTTCTCCGGCGCGTGGAGGCGCGTCCGGCGGTGTTTCTGGACCGGACCACCACCATTCTTCTCGTCTCCTTGTTCTCTTTCTGGATCTGTGTTGTTTTTTCAGATCGGACATCGTTTGGTATTTTTTTCCGAATTTTTTGGCTTCTTAGAGCCTTTTTCGTTGACTGTTTTGTGCCCTGTTGAGTCTTTTCATTGTGATGTTTGTGAGTTTGCTAAGCATCATCGTGTGTCTTTTCCTTCTAGTAGTACTAAGAGTGTTGAACCTTTTGATCTTATTCATTCTGATGTTTGGGGTCCTTCTAAAGTCCCTCATGCTTCTGGAAATAGATGGTTTGTTTCTTTTATTGATGATTGCACTCGTGTAACTTGGGTTTACTTAATGCATGAAAAGTCTGAGGTACCACATCTGTTCTTTCAATTTTATAAAATGGTTGAGACCCAATTTGGTAGAAAAATCAAGAGACTAAGAACAGATAATGGTACTGAATATGTTAATCACAGTTTTTCCCAATTTATACAAAATCAAGGTATGATTCATGAACTTACTTGTGTAGACACCCCTCAACAAAATGGGGTTGCTGAAAGAAAAAATCGTCACCTTCTTGAAGTTGCTCGTGCCTTACTATTTCAAACACATGTACCCAAATGCTATTGGGGAGATGCCATTCTTACTGCAGCGTTCTTGATCAACCGTCTACCCACTCGGGTTCTCGATCATGTAAGTCCTATTCACTCCATGACTTCTTTTTTTCCTTATGTTCCAACTTTGCAAAGTCTTCCTCCTCGAGTGTTTGGGTGTGTTGTCTTTGTTCATATTCATAAACAGCATCGCAGTAAGTTGGATCCTAGGGCTCTTAAATGTGTCTTCCTTGGATATGCTCCTGATAAGAAGGGCTACAAGTGTTATCACCCTGGTAGTCAGAAATTTTTTGTTTCTATGGAAGTTACATTTCAGGAATCTGAGTCCTTTTTCCAAGGTCCTCATCTTCAGGGGGAGAATAATTCACTAGAAGACTCATCACCTTCCTTCTTTGAATTTGAATCTTCAGTGTCTACTCCTTCATCTGAGTCAGTGTCTCTTCCTCTTGTTCATGTTCCCAATGTGTCTATGTCTGATCCTCCTGTGACTGATCCTCCTATGACTGATACACAACCCACATTGCCTCAGCAGCAACCTCAATCGTCTGAACCACGGGTAAGTCCTGAATCTCATATTTCTGATTTCGTATAAATTGGGAAAAACTGTGATTAACATATTCAGTACCATTATCTGTTCTACTCCTTCACATGTAATGAAGAAAGCGAGGGGGAAAAAATCCTTAATGGGATACATTATTCAACCTTGTTATTATGGCATTTAAGTTAGTATTTGCTATTTTCACCAAAGAAATAACAATTTTTTTTTTTTTTTGCATAAAATATTTTAAAATAACTCACATAAACTTGGGTGGAGTATGAAATACATTAGCTTACGATTTGTTAGAGGCAGGGAAGGAAAACCATTAGTACTTATAAGGGATAGTTTTTTTTTTTTCTATGTATCACAATGATTTTTTTATTCTTTTTCTTGCAATCTATTCTTGAACTTATTTGAGTTCATCAAAACTTTAACTAATCTAGTATAAAGATGACGTTGCTGTTCCTAAATCATTTAAATTTAAATATGATTAACAAATGTTTATCTGAGTAAGGAAAGAAATTTCTACCTATCGATTTCTCACTACAACGCGGAGTTAAAAAAGATTGTCCCCGTCTACTTAATTAGTCCACCATGGACGAGCTATGCATTAAGTGGACTCTCCTAAAGTAAATGTATTTTATCTCGGCATAAATTGAATTAGAATTCAAGATCATTAATTGAATTAGAATAATCCTATATACTTAATCCACGTAATTAATGATAATATTTATTCCTTTTTTTACAAGAGAAATCTATATCAAAAAGTGTGGGTGTAGAGCCCGTTTGTTTGGGTTTCTAAAAAAAAGTAACTTTTATTTCTTTTTTATTTTAAAAGTATTTTTTTACAAAACTGAAAGCTATTTATATTTCATAAAAATATTTAAATTTTGAAAAAAAATATTTGACTTTTTGTTTCTGATTTTTTTAGAGGCTAAAATCTTTAGCTTTTAAAAAAAAAGTAGATATTTTACTTTTTTTTTGTGATTAAGTAGATATCCAAACGAACTTAAAGTAAGAAGTATTTTTTTTTCCTAAAAATAAGCAAAGCATTTTTTGAAGAAAAAAAAAATTCTATACAAACGATCACTTTGTTAAAAGGAGATCAAAAGCCAAGCTTGATTAAAAAAGCCCATGACTAGTCACTTTTAATTAGTCGACCAGGACATAATACAAAATCTAATATTTATTGGTATAAATAATAGGAGAAGGATATTGTAACAATTAAGTTGTGTTATTACCAAGTTATTATCTATCAATCTCACCGTTAGATCAAATATGTTGATCCAACGGTTATATTTATTTCTATCTTTGTATGATCATGATTTCTCAAATTTAATACTTTATATTTATTTTCACCTTTGTATGATTATGATTTTCCATATTTAATGCTTTCAGTTTAAATATGAAGAATCATAATCATACAAAGATGAAAATAAATATAACCGTTGGATCAACATAATCGATCTAACGGTAAAATTGATTGATAGTAACATGATAATAACACAACTTGATTGTTACAATATTCTTCTCCTAAATAATATAAGTAATTGGTGCCATAATCTATGTATAATTTTCGCATGTATGAATTGTCCAGTTAGACGCTTCCTCCAGCTGCGATGGCCACGGGTTTTGCGAATAATCTTACATTTGACGTGACACCTAAAAAACCTGTGAAAGGAAAATCCCAAGACGATGACACTCGTAAAGCATTGTATTTTAAGCGGTACTTTAACTATGTTGACCTTTTCTTCCTCACTTCTGGAGAACACAAACAGTATTGACGAAAAATTCTTAGCTATAGTTGTTGTTCTCTTGCTTTATCCTTCTTATATTTTAAAATATCTGTCATTTATATAAATTACATAATGATTAAAAAGAACTTTTTTTTTTATTATAATCGAGTCCGTTTAATATTATTTTAAACATTATACAATTAGCTTAAATGATATATGAAAGAGATGGGAGGGAGTCATTACTTACATATGGCCATGTAAATCTGTTGGTCTACAATCGTACATGGGTAGGATTGGCCCAATAATCTTAAAATTTGCCATTAGCCCCATCATTCTACATGGGTGCAAGCCCTAGGACATTGCTAATGGGCCGCTGACTGAAAGCCAAGACCAATAATATATTTATCGAAGACTATATATAGAGATAGGGGGTGTAAATAGGCTACGATAGGCTAGATTAAGCTTTGACTTAAATAGGTCAAGTCTGTGTAAAAAAAACATTGAATCTGGTCTGGCCTGTTAGCCTGTGTAGGCTCCAAGTTATAAGTTTGGCCTGATCTATATTTAAAAAAAAAAACCTAGGCCTAGATCTATTAGACTGTTTAATGCTATTAAATATTCAACAATTAAAAGAATAACTAAAATAATATTACTTTATTATTTAAATATATTAAAATAATAATTTTATTCATTTTATTTAAAATAGATAATATGATATAGGCCAGCTTGTAGGCTTATAGGCCCGATATATACAAAAAAGCTTATGGCCTATTTTCTAAATAGATTTTTTTAAAAGTCTAGACCTATTTTATTTTACTATTTGTAACAGACTAAATCTGACCTAATATAGGCTAAGCCGTACGCCTTTGTAGGTCGGCCTAGCCCATTTACACCCCTATATAGAGAGAATAACCAAAAAGAAACACTTTATTTAGGGTTGCAAGTATCAACGTCGAAAACTCGAAATTATAAATGAATTTAGCTCTTACAAAATACACGAAACACTTTTTTTTGTGAAGTTCAGACAAACAATTATGGGGAATATGTTTCTCACAACACAAAAAAAATAGATAAGATCTAGTAAGAAAAAAGAGAAATGAAAAAGTAAATCCCACTCATTTTTGAAAAACATATTTCACATTAATTATTAATCAAAAGCTTGCCTCACCTTAATATGGATGTTCTTAGCTCGAACAAAATTGTCTCATAAAAAATACTCATGGTTTATCCAAAAAAAAAAAATGATAAAGAGCTAAGTTCTTCTTGTTATCCTTATTATTCTTATTATCATCATTACTATTTTATGAAAGATCTAAGTTAAAGAGGATTGTCAATTTGTACTAAAAAAAAAGGATTGTCAATATTGTTGAGATATTTAAGTGTGATAAATCTCACATTGGTTAGTAATGAGCTAAGTGAAAAACATATAAATAAAAGAACCCATGGACCCAATGCATTGGGGCGTTTGGTAGAGGAGAAATTTTTTTTTATCGGGGAATCTCAATTTCAAAAATATGATTTTTTACATTCAGTTTACGATAATATCTAAAAATTAAAAATTTAAAAAAATTCCGTTTTCCGAGATTCCTCAAGAATCCCACGTACCAAACGGGCCCTAATGTTTTAAGTTGAGATGTGATATCCAATACACTTGTTACAATTGGTATAGTTTAGACTAGTGATGATAATCCCCCCTCACGGTCTTCTCCTGGACGCGCGTGACAAATATACCCATGGACTCTGCCATCAATATGACGCAATTCCAGTGGCATTGCACTGAAACCTCAGCCCAAAACCAAGTTATCATATATATTACAGGCTAGTTGCTTTCGTTAAGCTTTATAATATAAATTATCATCTTACGTTTATAAGCGCAAGTTAAAAACCAGCTTTTTTATTTACCGGAAAAAAAAAAAGAAAAAAAAAACCAGCTCTAGCTAGAAACGATATTTCCTTCAACAAAGCATACTTGTAAGTTTCAAAGAGAATCAACAAGTAACAAAATCATAGTAGATACAGACAACCTCACTACAAGAACCAAAATTCGTGAATTATCTGAAGAACACGTAATTATATTTATTGGTAAATATTTCTACAATAAAGAAGAAGGATCCAAGGGATGCAACAAAGAATTTTCTACAGTGTAGAAACCAGGGAATAAAAAAAGAATGGAACTAAGCCTGATGTGTTGGGATTTCTACACTACCCTCAGTATCTTTATGAATCAAAAAACAATTTCCACATGAGTTTTGACTTAGTGGGGCAAGTGAATGGTTTAGCATCTACAATTACATTAACAAAGCCTAAATTGTTAGGTCTAACGTGCTATACTTTGAATTATAAGGCATACTAAGGGATGATGTCGGTCTGACTTAACAGTATGCAGACTATCACTGGAGATCTAATCCTTTATAAGCTAATTCAATGCATGGCATTGGATCTGAAATCCTCGTCTACAGGCAAATTCAGATCAGGAAGCACGAATTTAGATTCTTGGTTATCAATCTCTTGTGCTTTGGGAGAAGCATTTGCTGCATAAACAAGTGAATTGTCATCAAGAACCTTATGTGTAACAGTTTTTGGGGAGATTGGAGTAGATGGGTGACACCCTGCATCCACAAACTGAGATGGGCCATAGACAGCTTTCCCAGACAGCTCAGAGGTTGTAGCTGTTTTAGAGTTCTGTAGTGACTCCATATCGAGCTGTTACAAAAGATTAAGGCATATTAGTTTCTAGTGCACCATATCTAGTTTTTATGCATATATTTATTCATCATTCAATTTAGAGTAGAGATCTCGAATATGGAATGCAACAGTGAGTCAGAGACTACTGCTTCATATATTAGGCATGCCAACTAGGCAGAAACAGAAGGTTCTAAAAACGGTAGAAGAGAACGGTAAGGTCACCTTCATTCTCTTTAAGCTTTCATTTGTGGCTCTACGTTTCTCGATAGTCAGACGCAGGGATGCCAGTTCCTGTTCAGAAATTCAAGCAATATTAATAAACCATATAAAAAACATATCTCCAAGTTGAAGGGTCGAGATATGTGTGAAGCAAAAATAAGCTATCTAACAATATATGTACAAATCATACATTTTCCAAACTTCTCCTTTCTTTCAACAATAAATTTTCCTCCTCTTTTAGTTCAGCTGAAGTCTGCAAACACAATACGCATTAAGATATGTTAACAAGGTACACACTTACACAGATAAGGAGAAAAAACAATTATTCCTTTACGAATAAATGTGACGACATTTCCAAATTTGTTTGCTGATAATATTAAAACTGCCACATGAACTTTTAAGTTAACAGCTGCATTGAAAACTAGTTAATATTACAACTATACAAGCTAAACTAAAAAACATAAAATCAGTACACACAGATCTTTTTCCGAAACATTTAAAATACCAACCCATTGAGTCATCATCTTTAGTGTAGGGGTAGATGTAAACACTGACAAAATTGTTTTCTAAGCAAAAGTACAAAAACTAGAAGCTACATACTGGCTATCCAATCCTTAGTTGTTGGCTCAATCACAGTTTAATCCCAATCATTTGCACTTTGCTTTCGACATACTCAATGTAACCTAGTTCATTAGTCTATTCAACTAATAGCAATTCCCCAACTAGGTTAAGGTCACATTAAGTTCTTCCTTCACCTCCAACCTCAACTATAGGTCCTCTTTCTCTCTTCACACACACGCATCCTCGTTTATCTTCTGCTATATAAGAATATATTGTCATGGGAGAAATACTTGAATAGATCCTGTCTACATGAGGAGACTATATCAATCAATAATTGTCAACTACTCCTATCAGAAATAGGATTGACTACGGATTCGAGCAAATCAAATTATCACGTGGCACAGAGATTTATATGATTATTTAATATAAAGTGATACTGTGTTCATGATTAAGTCTGCCCAACTTGCCAAAACAGGGACTACCCAAGTATTTCTCCTGTCATAGGCAACCTATCATCCTATCCTTAATTCATATTCACACCTTTCTTGCATAACATACGAATATACATTCTTCTTTATTGTCTCAACAAATACCACGATATACACCCATCACAATTCACATAATTAGGTGTCCCTGAAAAAGTTAGATGTATGAAACACTCCGACTATACAGTCAAAAGTTTATACTTTACCTTTTTCCTTCTTGACTTTTTGGTAGTGGCTGTTTCACTTGGATTAGCAACCTGCAAAATACCAAATAAAGGGGAATTTAGGGTCTTGAGACATTTTATGATACAAAAACAAATTCTCGAAAAATATGGAGTGAAATAACATGATAATAAGATAACTTCAAAGGCAAAGAACACACGAAAGAGGTGGGAAAATACTTAGGCTAGAGACAAATCAAACTATACCACTGCTTTGACATCGGAAGATCAGCGACGAAAATCGATAATTGCCCATTCAATTAAGCTTTTTTTTTTTTTTCCTTTTTCTTTTTAAAAAGAAAATAATTTTAGGTAGGACCAGGAAAGACTAAAAATTGTAGGAATAACTTTGACAATACTTTCTATGCGGCCAAAAATCTAGAAGGTAGACTAAGGGCCTGGAGCATCCTGATAAGGAAGATAGGATAGGATAACTTATCGTATCCTACTCTTATCTCTTATCTCTTGTTTGGTGGTTTAATAGGATATAATTAGCTTATCCTATTGTCTCATTTTATCCTATCCAATGCATGATTTCTTATCCTATGGGGGGAGCTGGGTTAGGATTCAATAGGATAAGATATCAATATTAAATACCCAATAAATTCTCACCTACCCAATATATTCTCACACTACCCAGTATATTTGTATTTATTGCATTATATTTTCTTCTTCTTTTTTCCTTTCTCCCTCTACATAATCTTATCATATTGCTAATCAGGTGCTCATCAAACACAGGATATGATATAGGCTTATCAGCCCTGTATCATATCCTATCCTTATCAGCTCCATATTATATCATATTCTTATCCTATCATGTCCACCAAACGAGCCCTAAGGTCCTCAACTACACTGAACCATTATGGAATTGTCATTTATACCCTTACACTGCTGTGATAGGGAAACAGAGGCACGATTCCTTGGGAGGAATGAAGAAAGGATGGTGATATTAATTATTAATGGTCAGCATGAAAAACAAATCGCTCTCTTCACAATCAGTCCATCCAAAAATAAATGGGTAATGGTAAACGCTTTGCATGCATACACACGAAAACTCCTACTCCAATCAAGTAAAATGTGTGTTTGAAAATGAAAGCAATGGGTAGCGATTAATAAGCACCAATACCAATAACTAACAAGCCAGCTTGAGTAGCTTAGGTAGCTAAGCTTCATCCCATTGGTTTGGTGACAACGTGGTCCCCATATTCGTTTCGGAGATACCAAAATGGTGGCATTTAACACAGCACAAGCAGAAGAAGCACCCTCTTTTATTTCCAACTTCCTTATCCTGTCTCGGAGGTTGTTTGCTTCCACTTGCTCCGCATTTTCCTTTTTTTTCTATTTATTTATACCAAAAAAATAAAATAAAAATTGAAGACACGTTACTACAAAATGTATACAATTACCCATTTTATTTACCTTCCAAATAACGGGGTGTAAATCGTCTCGTGTTAAAATTTCGTATAAATATAATTTTGTAAAAATTTTGTTTATCTCTCTTCATATATATTAAATAAGTAAAATTTAATTATTATTAATAAGAAAAAAAATTGATAAAAAAATAAAATAAATCGCATTCCTACTACTTTTGACTTTTGCCATGCACTATTTTTTAATTTGACAATTGAGTACAGAGGGTTGCGTTCAAGCTGTGATGCAGATAACAGACACTTGTCTTCTTTTTTTCTTTTCCTTTTTGGATAAAAGACATTTGTCTTCTTTAACTTGCATGTGAAAACGACGACGCAGCCCCGGGAAATAGAATGGGATTTAATTATTAATTAATAATCATTAATCATCGCAAATGAAAGGAAAGAAAAATAAAATAAAATAATAAGATGAGCGCATGCGCCCTCAGGAAAAGCAACAATGGGGAGACGACACCATATGAGTTTCCCCCCACCCAAACTTTACACAGAATTGCAATTGAAAACACCAAAAAAGCGCATAATCACTACCAAACAATACTTAGTCGGAAAAACTATTTGCCACAAAATCACGCCACCAACAAATAAATAAATAAAAATAAGAGTATTTGTGGCACCCTTACGATATTACCCAATTACCCCTCACAGCGAATCTATCGCATCGCAGCACCGTACTTACCAATCACAAAAAATTAAAAATTAAAAATTAAAAAAAAAAACAAAAAATCAGCTGCAACTTCCTCCCGAAATGAGCGGAACACAGCCAGATAGAGAGACGAAAATGCCCTCCGAATGAAGGGTGTTTAGGTCATTTGAGAGCGTGACGGTGACGCGAAGATGAGGCGAAAAGTGGCAAGGAAAAAACGTGACAGGAGTCATTCAAGCCTCTGACTCCATGCGTTGAATCAAAAGTCACTCCTTTTCCCTGAATTTATAACTAAAATAAATAATGACAAAGTCTCCTATTCAAGTTGAACTTTTATAGCAAAACAATATCGATGACACGGCGGCTCCGGTAACCGGAGAGGGGTAGAATTGTAAATCTGGTGGAGGAAAATAAAGGCAGCTCATTCAGTTTCATCAGAATTTAAGTAAATGGCATTTTCGTAAATTCCATATTCAAAAAAGAAACTGTCACACTCTCATAACAAACACAAACAGAGTTTCGTGCTCGCCGTTCAACTTATACACGACGATAACCGAATGCGTCATACCTTCCCTTACCGAAAACTCAAACGCAAGAGAAAGAGAAGAGGCATTAGAGAGAGAGAGAGATCGAACCTTGGATCTTGAAGTTTCGGGCAGTTTGGTTGGGCGGGTGAAGTCGTCGTAGGCATCGACGGCGCCGGCGCTTGGTGAGGTGGCAGCGGTCCAGGAGAGAGGAGTGGTGGGGCTGGCCCTGGTGGAGTCGGGTTTGTTGTGTTTGGAGCGGGGCTGACGTACGGTCCAGTGGAGGTGAAGATAGGGCGGTGGGTTGAGGCGGAGGAGGAGGTCGACGACGACGGAATCGTCGGCCATGGCCACCTTGACCCAGTCATCGTCGCACATCTGGAACAAGAAGAGGTGTATGAAGGGTGGGGAATGTTAAGTAGATAATAATAATGAATAAAAAATAATGAATATGAAGAGGAAGGAGTGGATGGAAGGTTGGTTTATACTTTTATTTATATGATGTGCCTGCCTCTGCTGCTTATGACTTATTAAAGAGAGATAAAAGAAATGATGTTTTTGTTGAAAATTAAAACCCAAACCCCTGTTTGTAATGTTATGGGGTGGATCATTGGCTCTTTGACACGTTCGGAGGGTTTGTACTTTGTACCCCTTTAATTTTTTCAATTTGTATTTAGTTGACGATATTTATCATGCTATTTATCAATTGAAATCGTTAAGTGACGCGGGCACCTAGTGGTACTAAGCGATCCTCTCCACCTAATAGAAGAAAAAAGGTGATACTTTAAGACAAAATAATCATACAAGGAAGTGTAAAAGCTAGCTCAAGGGGTGAGAGTGTCTAAAGTCTTGTAAAGGTCATATTAGTTGTCCATCTAATCAACGTGAGACTATATATCTCAACACGCCCCCTCACGCAAGAGCCCTTTAGGCTAGAAGCGTGGAAATTGCACAGGCACATTTTTGGTTTACCTTTTTGTGTTTTTTTATTATTATTTTAATTCCACTTTTTTAAAGCTGGGGACGGTGAGGCTCTGATACCATGTTAAGAACCTTGGGATACACCACCCCAAAAGCTAGCTCAAGGGGTGAGAGTGTCCAAAGCCTTATAAAGGCCATATTAGTTGTCCATCTAATCAACGTGAGACTATATATCTCAACAGGAAGGATAAAATGATAAAAAAATAATTTTTTTTCAAATTGAGTAAATGATGCAACGAGGAGTCTTCAGTACTCACGTAGTACGAAAGATATTTCCCTCTCACGTCACTCATAATTTTTTTTCCCAATTGAGTGATGCTTCCTTCCGTCACTCATGAGATTGTGCCAAATCGTTAGTCTCGTTATTGTAAAACATTTAAAAGTTATAATCTTTGACTCGAGTATTCAAATCAGATTTTTTTTTTGATTTCATATAACTTTTCGAGATCTACACGATCACACCTCATTTGATATATTTTATCTTTCACAAACATAGTTCGAATTTGTAAAAAAGTAAAATTATTGTTGCAAATTTGAACTATGTTAATGGAAGATAAAATATGTTAAATGATGTGTCATTGCATAGATCTTGAAAAATTATGTTAAATAAAAAAATCATTTGATTTGGATACTCGAGTCAAAAGTTATGATATTTCGAAGTTTTGCGGTAACAAGACTAATGAGATTGTGTCGCACAATCTTGTGAATTTCGAAGGAGAGGGGACGTCACTCAATTAAAAAAATATATGTGACTGAGGCAATGAGAGGGTCGCAACACTATCCTAGCATCACGAAATGATCCCATTGATAAATAAAGAAAATTAAATATCAAATTGGTATATTAAAATTTTGAGTAAATATTCTTTTTGGTCCTCGACAAATTTCACGATATTCCTAACAAATAAAAAAGCCCATCGTGGTCCCTAAAAAATTCAAAATGGACCCATTTTAGTCTTTTTGAGAACTAATATGGATCTTTTTTGAATTTGTGAGGGACCACGATTTTAACTAAATAAGTTCATTTTGAATTTCTTAAGAACCATGATGAACTTTTTTTTTTGCTAGAGACTAAAACGAACATGATAAAATTTGTTGAGGATCAAAAATGATATTTACTCTATAACCTTAAAAAAAACGTCAATGGGTCAAAGAGCCGTGGATCATTCCCCATGGTCCCACTTTCTTGCACGTGTCTAACCATAACTGGTTTTTCTATTCTCATTTTTTCTATTCCCATTTTCCACGGGCATGGGAGTGTGGGACTGGCGCCCAAATTAATGAAATTATCACAACAAAAAACATTGCTTCTTTAAATAACATATACGCAATTACGCATATCACGGCATCAGTAATTTGGTACCATTTTGTTTTGATATTTTCATTGAATTTTTTCTTTTCTTTTTGGGACCTGTCCAGTCAGGTGATAACATGATATTGGAAAAGATCAAAACTCAGGACATATAGGATAAATTTATCTTATATTAAAGGGATTATTATTTTTCAAATTGCAAAAGATAAATTTATCTTTTTTATATATAAAAATGTGTGAAATTTATGTAGACACACTTGAGGATAGAAGAGAAAAAGAAAAAGTATGAAATTCATACACTTTTATATAAGTGTAGAAAATAAATTACAATATGAGAAATATTAAACTCTTATATTAATTACAATAAATAAATAATTTTTTTTTTAAGTTTTTGAGTGACACTCTTAAAAAGTTATCATAAAAAAATTTTCATACTGTAGAAGAATAGTTCTTTCCCATCGTACATATAATTATGGGTGTGACCCATATATTTATAAAAAAAAATTGAGCTATACTAAAATAGAAAATAGATAGGTGTGTAAGAAAGAAAGATACTATCCAATATCATAAGATAGTCTTTTTCCAAAAACTAATGAAATAGGTTGGGTAGGATCCCTAAATCTTGTTAAATTTGCCACCAACTGAAAGAAACTTATTGGAAAATCCATTAAAAAAAGGGAGACAACTCTCGGCCTTTTTTATGTTCTCTGTTCGTAATAGCTAAGTCATGACTCACTACAGAAAAAAAATTTATTAGTGTCGCAAATTTCGACACTACATATGAAATTTCGTCACAAATTTCTGAGTCGCAAATTTATTTGTGACGAAATTTGATTATTTGTGTCAAAAATTGTCATTTGTGACAAATTTTTTTATCACAAATAAACTTTTTTCTTGGAGTGACTCGTGAGTGTTAAGAATGGGTACAGTTAAAATTCATAGCAGAACATAATTTACAGTGTTTGTTTAAACTTTCAAGTCAGCAAGCATCTAATATGAGATATACTTATTAAAATCACCATCCATTAAATGTGGAAAACAAAACTGACGATATAAAATTATCATTCAGAAAGTCATCTTAGCTTTAAGAAAAATATATAGTAACTATAAGACAAGACAACATCTATGTATATATCATTTAAAAGAAGGACTTAAATTTCGTGATTATTTGGACATATGCACCTAAAACCAAAGAAGAACTCAGTTTCTAAAGGGAGGTGGCAACAACACAAGTGGTGATGGCTCTGGAAATGGAAGAAAGCTACTTGGTGCTGGCGGGTCTTGTGGATTACTTGGGAGTTCAGGAACCATTGGTGGCGTGAACAGAAATGGCTCTTCAGGTGGTAGAAGCGGAAGCTGAGGCGGAGGGAAAAACATCGGGACAAGTGGCGGTGCTGGTGGTGGAAGAGTGATGATGTCTGGTGTCTGTGGCCATGGAAACATCGGTGTTTGTGGTATATCTGGTTCTGGAGGAGAAAGGACCTCTGGAATTGGTGGTGGAATTATCAAAGGTGGTGGAATAACTGTAGGAGAAGGTGGAGGTGGCGATGGAACTATTGGAGGGGGTGGTGGAGGGGAAGGTGGAGGTGGCGATGGAACTAATGGCGGAGTTGGTGGTGGAGAAGGTGGAGGTGGCGACGGAACTAATGGTGGTGGACTTGGTAGTAGTGGTGGAGGGAGAATTAATGGTGGTGGAGAGTATTGTGTTGGTGTTTGATCAAATGGGTTGTTTGGTGAAGGAGAGGTAGGGAAAGGCCATTGGCCACAGGTTCCAAATAAATATAGGTAAAATGGGTCGCATGAAGATCCTCTTTTCCTTCTTCCTCCACTCCCTCTGCCTCTGCTTCTGCTTCTTCTAGGTCTTCTCAATTCTTCTTCTTTGCCTTGTTGTCTGTGTTGGTGATGAGAAGGTGTTCTTGTTTCTGCAAGAGACTGTGAGAGCAAAAGAAGTGTTAGCAGAGTTATGAGTACTATGTTCTCTTTCATTTCTTCACTGCATGCTTCTCATGTGGTCATTCTCTCTTTCTCGGCTTTAATTAACAATATTGTCCAACTACAAAGTGTCTCCATATATATATATATATGACACTTTAAGGATTTCATGTTTTCACACCATCTACTATTTTAGTCTCTACTAAATCTATTTATAAAACTATTTATGAATCTTCATCATTATCACGTAGAAGACTTAAAAGCAGTGTGTTGCATTTAAAGACGCTAGCTGTAATTACAGAGAGATAAGATCATGAGCATGGGCGGCAAGAATTACACCTTTCAATAGATGAGGATTGGGATGTGGCATCAACCATGCTCTCTCAGAACGACACACAATAACCATTATCAAAACTTGAAGTGGTTGACTGCTTCTCAGCAGAATAGCTAGGTGGTGAATTAATTGAAGCAAGGGCTACCTGGTTTTACGTGCCAATTTGATAAAGTTGAGTCTTAACCACTTCTCGAGGCTTCAAAAAATGCAATTGTAAACTTGTATAGAATATTGGATGCAACTAAGGCTGCTAAACTAATCAAGATCTTTTTTGTCTCGACTCGTGAATGTTTATATTTAGGGCTTGGTTGGTGTAAATGATAGGATAAGGGTAGGATATGATATAGGGCTGATAAGCCTATATCATGTCCTGTATTTAATGAACACCTGATTAACAATATGATAAAATTGTGTAGAAAGGAGAAAGGAGAAAGAAAAAACAAAATATAATACAATAAATATAAATATATTGGGTAGCGTGAGAATATGTTGAGTATGAATATTGGTATCCTATCCTGTTGAATCATAACCAAGCTATGTATTGGATAGGATAAAATGAGACAATAGGATAGGCTAATAATATCCTATTAAGTATTAACTCACCAAACAAGAGATAAAAGTAGGATATGATAAGTTATTCTATACTATCTTTTTTATCAGGTGCTCCAAACAACCCTTATGTGTCTAAAATTGATTGATAGGCTTGAATTTTTATAAAAGCCTGTTTAATAAAAAAGCCTCTAACTCTAATTCAAAAGTCTGGCCTAGAGCATCTCAGGCTGGTTTAGTATACTAATTTATTTTTTTATTTCATATATTTTTATACTACTTATAATAGTCTGCTCTCTCTTCACCTTATTTTATTAGTTAAACAGATATTTGAATAATTTTGTTCTATATTATGCTATTTGGATATACATTGAATTTATGAATTTTTGTGAAATTATCAGTGTTGTTGATCGTATATTCTGTTTGGATAATTTTTTTTTTAACATGCTAATAGGCTAAATAAAGCTCTTATTTTTTATAAATAAGGCAGGCCACTGGCCAATGATTATATTTATAACAGGTAACAGACTAAGCTAAACTGACACATTTAAACACAGATTTAATCTTTTAAGACTAAAATTCAACTCGGTTCAGTTCGGCCTGTTAACACCTCTAGATGTGACCGACTAATGGGGGAGTGCACACATCCGCTCACATGGCTTTTGGAAAAAGAAAAAAAATAGAAAAAAATATAATTTAAATATTATAATTATTTATTATTGATAATACATAATTATAATAACATTTTCGCCTCTATCATACCAAAAGTTTTTTCCAGCAACTGCATAAATTGCTGACTCAATGCAATTTTTTTTGCCCAATAATTGCATGGATTGAATTGAGTACCTATTCACTGGGAGTTGGGTGCAATGAACAAATATTGGATTCAATGGGCCTACCAACATGTGCTGTCTCTACCAACACAAGCCCAATTCTTAATTATCCCGCGTACAAGCCGAAATAATCCTACACTTCCATATGTGAAACCTAGTGTACCGGACTATGTAAATGAACAAATGAACGCACGTTATCATTAAATCACCGAAAAAATGTGACATTAAAGAGGGTGGGACAATATATGGAAATAGATATTACTCATATTACGTATTTTTTTTTTTATAAACATATTACGTAAAATTATTTGATAATCGAATACCCACCAAAAAAAAAAAATCATTACGAATCAAATAATTATTGAGTTGTATATATATATATATATATATGAGCTTATCGTTTCTCAAGTTGCTTGAGATAACTTTATCTCCGACTACTAAATCATAACCGTATAAAGATGGATCAATAGTGATAAAAGAAGAGAGAGAAAAAGAGAATCATAACCATTCAAAGGTGAATCAATTAATATAAAGAAATAAATAAAACGACGTAGTTTTGAGGTGGCCAAAAATAAACTTATTTCAAGCTGCTTGAGAAATATTTTTTCTTATATATATCTATATTGGTAAATATAAAAATATATTTTTCATTAATATTCAATCACGAGTTTCACGGATAAATCTTTGGTACAACTGTTGTACCCAAGTGGGTACAATTTTTTTTCTACTTTTAGAAAAAAATTTAACACTTTTCAAATTTTTTCAAATTTATTTTTTCCGCCATATTGCACTTTTTTCCAAAAGTGGAAAAAAGTTGTACCCACTTAGATATAACAGTGATACCAAAAATTTATCCGAGTTTAACATATCGAAAAGGAATTTGGTATCTAGTTGCTTCGGTTAAGAAAATAAAAAATATTAAATGAAATATAAAACATTTATTATATTGAGAATTAAAAATTATTTAATACTTTCCCGTTTTAAGTAATTAAAATATATAATAGAACGATCAAATTGCATATTTAGAAAATCTCAGAGGATTGTGTTGCACTTTTTAAAATTCAAGGATTTATCTATGACCCAAATTTCAAGAGAATAAGTTGAATTTTCCACTTGAAAACTCCTACATTATATGCATTGACAACATATTAAATTAGTTTGACTATATAATCACTGCCTACAGAGCAAGAGTTTAGATTTGACACATTACCAATATTTTTTTCTCCACGATTGATATATCATTAAAATAGATGCATTTCTTAAAAAATAATTAAGATTATCAAAGATATTTAGTGATGTGACAATCATTTGCACACTTAACATATGTTAATAAATCAGAAAATGATAATACAAGAATCTCCAAAGTAACAGTGAATAAATTTAAACTCTTCAACATAATTAAATTAGATGAGAGATATTCTTACTATCAAAATTTTTTACTATCAACTTACTACCTATCTAATCACTACTGGATTAGTATTTTCTCTCTCTTCATAAACTTTTTAGCATTCTCTCTCTTAAATTTAATGATGATTAGATTGGTAGTAAGTTGATAGTGAAAAATTTTAATAGTAAGAATATTCTCCCTCGTTAAATTATATTAAGTAAATCATATTGAGTGGTTATTTATTTTTTATCTGTCAATGTCTTCATAAATTCATCCATATTTTAGAATTTCCTAAACAGTCATATTTCACGGGTGAACAGTTAACGGGATATTTAAGGCAGTAGCAAAAGTTGACTACGAATAAATTAAATATAATAAAGATCAACATAAGCATGTACCCACCAGAAAAACACAAGCATACGTACAAAAGGCACAAAATGAATCTCAAATTGCCAATTTGGTTATTGTGTGTCTAAGTTTTTGTTTTTATTATTATTTTTCTATTTTTAATTTGCTCTCCCTTTTCATTTGATGGTTTACATATAAAAGAGTTCACGTGACAACTGTGATCTTGTCACACGTCCCGCAAATTTCACCCCACCGTATCATCCTTGTTCCCAGACAAAAGACATTATACACCAATATGAATTACATGACTATAGTTATGGCTATCTTTCTAATTTTATTTCCTTTCCATTCTTTATTTCTTTGTTTGTTTTCCCTTTTTTTTTTCTTTTTTTCTTTCTTTTTTGGAAGTTCTCTTTTGTTTTCCATTTCCCTTTCCTTCATCGGTGGGTTGGGTTGTTTTTTTTGAAAATTACAAGTGACATTTCGACAATCTAATGTTAGCTAACGCTGTCCGGGTCACCCAGATGCAGTACATGCCCACTTTTTTTAATGTTGTTATCCTCATAATTGATCAATCGTGCTAACAATTATTTTCTGAGTACGGTTTCGAGTTTCAACTATTAAATAATAATAATAATAGAAATAATAAACGTTCCACTCTCTTTCAAATTGAATAATCCATCTGCATATATGAATTAAAATTATAAAAATATTATGATTTTCGTCTTAAAACGATATCGTATTGAGTTTATTGCAGATAACTTATCTGTAGCAACTGCAGAAAAGCAAACCCTAATCAGAAAAATATTTCTGCAGTTAGTGCAGATAAATTATTTGCATTTACTTTTTAAAAACGACGTCGTTTTTAAATTAAAAAATTATAATTATAAAGACTATAATAATTCTGAAATAAATTAAAATTACAAAAAATACCATAATTTCTGTTTCAAAATGACGTTGTATTAGACTTACTGGAAATAACTTATATGCAGTAATTCCAGAAAAAAATACATATTAATTAAGTGAACACTGAAAATATGAAGATATCCAATCACTCATTAAGGCGTCATTAATAAAGGCCACTCTAATTACATAAAGGGAAATCATTATCTCCATCTACATGAGATAAGAATTTTTTTCTACACAAATTTGTTTTCCGTGCCAATTAATTTTTCTTTTCTTTTTTAATTTAAAATGTGGGACCCACATTTAATTTATCTCTACTTTTTTTCTCTCCTACTATCCTACAACCTAAGAAAATATGCACCCTTACATAAATTCACAAACAAAGGGACCGTGAATGAGTTAGAAGACAAGTCTATTATTTGAGAAAAAAGAAGAGGTAAATGGCTAAAGAAAAAGCTTGGAGCTTTAGGCCTTTTATGTTTCAAAGGTGAGCAAAGGCAAAGGGGCAAAGCACCTTAACATTAATGTTTTTGGGTTAGCATGAATGATGGTGATGACCCACATGAACATGAACATGGAGATGGAGGGCAGTGAGGTCCCCCCAAGTATCTGTCTCCACTATCCACATCTCACAAACCTTGTGTGTCCCAATAACTTTTGAACTCTCTCACCTTTGGATAACTGCCACGTGATTTCATGTTACATATTCTCTCTCTCTTGTATGCTCATAAACCTACTCATCATCGTTCATCAATTATCAAATCAAATGGATTAAAAAGTGCTTTCTCGGTTTCCTTGAAAGAACCTTTGTCGATTTATGTAGAAGGGATTACTGCCAAAAATCGTTTCAAAATTGAACAAGGAAAGAAAGAAGCTTCTCTTGACAAGTTATTCCACTCACTCACTCACTCTGTTTCATTCTCCTTGAATAAGGACACCCGAAATGAATCTTCTTGTTCTGTTCCTGTTGCCCATTTGGTTTCTAAGCATTTCTCTTTCATCAGCAATTCTTCACACTGCATCCCCCATTTCTGTTTCTCAATATTCTGCAAATGCACAAGCTGAATCTCCAGGTACTCTAAAAACATGTACTCAATTGATTTTTTTTTTTTTTTTTACCTTAAGTCTAATTTCTGATCGCTCCATGTTTGATAGTGCGTTTTTATGAGTTAGCATTTGCTCAAACACTAAAAAGTTGTGAACTTGAATCCCCAAACAACGAAAACTCACTGTTTGTACTTTTTTTTTGTTATCTCTCATCACGAGTTTCTCCTTGAATTATGACGGGAGTGACCATTTTCTTGACATCTACAGCTTTGGTTTCTGAAAAATTCAATCTTGCAATTAAAGGATAGTAAAATTTTGCATTGTTTGATGTTCGAGTCACTGAAAAATCATAAACCCTTCATTGCTAGTCATAAATTCTGATGAAACAAGATTGTTTCCTCAGATTTGTTTACTTAATCGACATTAACATGTTACTACTTCTAACCTGAGAGATCTCCCTTCCTACTTGTTCATATTAGATTTAATTTCATAAGTTGTAATCCCCCCATCAGCATTTTATTTGATGTGAATTCCTTTTATAAATTCAGTATATGCTGCTTAATGAGTTGCAGTATTGTCTTATGTTGAAACAGGAATGCAGGTTGTTAGAATAGTTCACCACCAGAACTTGAATAAGAGAATTCTGGTAGCACTGATTGTTTGTTCTTCTTTTCTTGGTGGAACCTTCCTATTCTTATCATATGTCTGGTTCTGTCGACATAAAAACTTATGGAGCTCAAGTAGTAAAAGCCAAGGAATCATGGGTGTGACAATTTTCTTTAGTGAAATATTTATTTGGGTCTTCTATTTGTTTTTGTACAGAGTAATGCATGCACAGAAAGTTCCTTCTCCATCTCTCATTCATTTATTTATTCAACTTGCAGAGGTTGCAAAAGGGGAAGCCTTAAGTTCTGTTAATGCTAAACTTAACTACTCAAAGATGGCAGATAAGAACAGTTCAGTTGCTATTTTCGACTTTCAGTTGTTAGAGTCTGCAACGAACAACTTTTGCAAAAGTAATATTATGGGAGAGACTGGTTCTAGAATTGTTTACAGAGCTCGTTTTGATGAACATTTTGAGGTAGCTGTGAAGAAAGCAGATAGTGATGCTGATAGAGAATTTGAGGTGACGGTCCTTTAGATTTAGATTTGAGTGTGTATTTCCTGGGATCCCATATTTCCCTTTACTGAATTTGCCTTTAATTACTGTATTGAATTTCAGAATGAGGTGAGTTGGTTGAGCAAGATACGGCATCAGAATATCATAAAACTTCTGGGTTATTGTATTCATGGTGAATCGAGGTTTCTTGTTTATGAATTGATGGAGAATGGATCCCTGGAAACTCAATTGCATGGTACATTTTTTTTCATTAATTTTGACTCGGAAAAGTGAGAAAAATATCGTATATTTGGAACTTAAGGATCATATGTTGTTCATTTGTATTAAAATTTTGTAGGGCCTAATATCAGATCATCTTTAAGTTGGTATCTCCGTTTAAGAATTGCAGTTGATGTTGCCAGGTGAGTTTAGGATGCATTTTGTGCTAAAAACTAATTTAGTAGCCCTTGTCTTATCTATGATGATGGATACATATTTCGTTTGCCAGAGCATTAGAATATCTCCACGAGCACTGCAATCCTCCTGTGGTTCATAGAGACCTAAAATCTTCTAATGTTCTTCTGGATTCTAACTTTAATGCCAAGGTTAGATCGTACATGACCTATTAATGTTACATGTTGTCAATTAGTTACTTAAACTTAACCCCTTCACTGAGTTTTGTGATTCAGCTATCAGATTTTGGACTTGCTATATCTTCTGGGGTGCAACACAAGAACATGAAGATGTCGGGAACTTTGGGATATGTGGCACCTGAGTACATATCACATGGTATCCAAGAATACTTATTATTCTAAAAAGACAAAAAAACATAGTACTTGTTAGTTGTTACACTGTTTGGTCATTTCTTGCTCCTTTGAAACATATTCCGTGTACCCTTCAACCTTCTGTTGAGGTACTTCACTGCTCCTCCGGTTTGATTACTTCACTTTTCGTTTGAAAATATTTTCTTCCTAAGTTTCTATATCAATCTTTTCCTGTATCTATCAAGTTACATTTCTATATTAATTAAGTTCTTAAATTTAGATTGTCCTAAATGCTGATTGGTGAATAGGATTATATTTATTTGGGGAGGAATCTCTTTTTTTCCCCCTTGTGGAAATTGAGAAAGAAAAAGGATGTATTCCATTTTCTTATTAATTTTTAGTAAATTATAATTTTACTGTATTATAAAGGAAGATAGTCCAACTAAAAGGGGTAGAGGAGGAAGGGAGACCTAAGAAAACTTTAGGAGAAACCATTAAAAAAAGACTTTGTAGATCCTAATAATGTCAATTGATTCATGTTGCTGACTGCACCAAGTAGGATAAATTAAGTTTCTATATCAATCTAACTGAGTAGAATCAATGGAACTTAGATCTTTTTTTTTCCCCCTTCAAAACAAAATATAACAATAGTAAGCTTTTCAGGTAAACTAACTGATAAGAGCGATGTCTATGCTTTTGGGGTTGTGCTTCTAGAACTTCTAACCGGAAGAAAACCCATGGAGAACATGTCCTCAAACCAATATCAATCCCTCGTTTCATGGGTATGTTTGCTTTCATAGCTTCATTAAAGCTTGTTGTTAATGGAGAAATCCGAGTGGGTTAAAACTTTCAACTTGCAGGCCATGCCTCAGCTAACTGACAGAACGAAGCTTCCAAGTATTCTGGATCCTTTTATCAGAAACACAATGGATTTGAAGCATTTATATCAGGTTCATTGAATAGAAGCACTGTAAGCACTTGTTTTCATGCTTAGTGATAAATACTACATCCTAAGTTCATGTTAAAATTCAACAGGTTGCTGCTGTGGCTGTACTTTGTGTGCAACCAGAACCAAGTTATAGGCCACTAATAACAGATGTCCTGCATTCCCTCATCCCTTTGGTACCAGTTGAGCTTGGAGGGTCACTCAGAGCTACAGAACCAGTTCGCTCAGAGAACTTAAACTGATTTCAGAAAATTGTGTTTTCATATTATTGCAAAGAGGAATATATAATTGTTGTCATCCTTTTCCAGATGGTCTTTCTTTTGTGCCTTATATGTAACTTGCATGATTATGATTAGGTTATTGTTTGTTTTAATTGTAAATAATGATAATGTTGTCATCTTTACAAGCTATGAGGACACACTGAGGTTGGATTGGTGGCTGTCTAGCTGAAAGATGCTTTTGTCAGTTTGCCATATATATACAAATCATTAATTTATATATAAAAAAAAACTAACTATATATATATATATACTTCTAATGAACCATGACTTCTGTTATGTGTTCTTTCCTGACATTTAAATGAGAAAAATCATGTTCAAGCTTATCTTATACTTTATTTGTGGTGGTTCGAAGTTTACAGGTACATTATCATATAATTGGATATCATATGGCCCAACAGAAGTTGAAAATCTCGATATTGTTGTGACTAACTAGCAATCACAATCTTTTTCTTAATGCTGATTTGTGACCATAAGAGGACATATAACTGATATAACCAAAAAAATTATCTATTACTTACGTCCTTTGATTACCCTGAGTTTATGACTGAAAATGAAAAAAAAAAAGGTGACGAAAGTAGCATAGTAATTATTCAATCATAAACAAAACCAAATGAGCTAAATTAATTTTAAAATTTCCTAAAAAATTGAGCATTGTTCTCGATCTATCCCATGTGGGATTTTAGCCTCAACCATTGAAAGACCCAAAAGGTTCAAAAACTATTTATTAATAAGGAAGGAAACGCGACTATCTCACGTATCTTGACAATTCTGCAACCATTTGACACACGAGATCGGCTACTACGACATCAGTTGCTCACAACATCAGCTACAACATTAGTTGCTCAGAGCACCACTACTCCCATGAGAACCAATGGCTTGAGGACACGCACCTCGCTACATCTATAAGCATCTCGCCCAATGAGTAGTCTGTGAAGATTATCACTCTCTGTCAATAAAAATGAACACCGTCATATTAAGACGGCACAAGGACATTCATATGCTATAAATGAAGAGGCATTAAGCCCAAACATGATCATTTTCACATCAATACTTGAACATTTATTAACTTGAACATTTATTAACTTGAGTGTGAGAGTATCTTGTAAGTATTCCTACAAGTCTCTCCAAGCTACTCCAAAACATCAATTTCAGCCCAAGCATCTCAGCAAAACATCCCGCGAACCAAGCAGACATCCCACAAGCAAAATATGGCACAATCCACTAGCAAGCTCAACTGTGTATGATTCAATCCAATAGTTATTGGATTTATAAGCATGTTATCGATTAAAAAGAATCTATATGCGAGTTATAAATTTTGTGGTTGTCATTAGGAGAGATGTAATTGATCACCAATCACACAAACTGTCTGTCTCAACATTTTTCTCATGGAAATTGCTTCTGCTCTATTTCTGTGTTTTGATTAGACAGGAGTTAGAATTGCCGACTTGGGTATTAAAAAGGCAGCCAATTTGACATTTTGACTAACAACAATCTACTAAGGACAGGGCATGTAAATTTGTTTTCAAGTCAAACTTAAGGAAAACAACAAAAATGGGCTAGAAAACAGAAATATTATATATGTATTCCTCAACTTTGTTTTTTTTATGTATCTGCAGAATTTCTCGAAACTCACAATTTTGAACGCTGACTACCATAAATAAACCCCGGATGTTTTATCATTGGTTTGGTTCAACTTACACGGGGGAATGCATCCTTTTCAGGTTGAAAATCCCTTTCCCATCTAATACGTACACACTGAAGATGGAAAATTCCTCCGACCATCTTCGTAAGAATCTAAATAAAATTAGTCACTTCCCAACAAACAAAATTGTTTACTTAGCTGAAGTAAGCAATTTTGTTGCATATTAGGATGGCAGTTACAAAAGTATGTATTTCATGACCATTTCAGACAATCTCTGTCCAATGTACACTTCAGCCAAAACAGTACCACAGATATCCTAATTAGATCCATTTTAAGTCGTATAAAGTAAGTAACTTTTCAATTATTTGTAAGGGTAAGGTTGCTTAGAAAGATTATCCTCACCCTACATTTGTTAGTTGAATTTAATTGGAGTGATTTTTAAGAGAACAAATTGGAGCAATGGTAAAGTTGTTCTTTTATGACTAAAAGGTAATGAGTTCGAATACAGGACACATGCAAGGATAAGTTGCGTACAAAAATTATCTTCACCCTACACTAACTACTCGAGTTTAACGGGAAGTGATTTTTTAATTGAATTTAACAAAGAGGATGAACCGGAACAGTGATAAAACTATTTCTTTTTGATTGAAAGGTCTCTGTAAAGGTAAGACTAGATCATTTACTTGGGGTATGAAAATTCCTAGTTTCATGGCGAAAAAATTGTAGATTATGAAATGTCTTTTCAGTAGGAGACAAATGGATTGTCGAGAATGAAAACAAGGAAAATAAATGCATAATACAAATTCAATCTAGCATGCCTCGATGGGAAACAATAGTAACGATAGAATCAATGAATGAGATCATTATCATTTAAGACAAAGATTACACATTCGATGATGACAAGGTAAACAGCGCGTCTTGTGTTTTATTATATACTCTTTGAATCTTCCCAATGAGTTTACCACAGTTTGTTCCCATTTCTATCTCCCCCACCCTGCCCTGTGCATCCAAGATACAGAGAAACCATGTCATTTTCAAGCTGGATTTGTACTAATAATTCAAAGAACATTCTTCTCCGGATTGTCCATCCTGGTGGTCACGTTGAGCTCCATGACAGACCTGTGACTGCAGCCGAGATTATGTGCCGCAACCCAAAATGCTGTGTCGCGTATCCACATGTATTCCAGCAACCATGGGCAATTGTTGAACCAGACACAGTGCTCATGCTTGGACAAAAGTTTTATGTAGTACCAATGGGAACAATAAGAAAGCTTCAAAGGCTTTCTCCAAGGCATTCTCCTTCTCCTGCTCGCGAAATTACAATGAGTTCTTCAGTTGATGGAATTAGAAACTTACAATCCGGCAAAGCTGAGGAAGATGATGGTATGATCTCCACTTGTTTTCTCTTCAGGAATAAAAGCATTACAAAGCAATCTAATAACTACAAGCAACATTCAAATAATAAGAGCAAGAAATCAGAAACCAGATCGGATGTAAGATATTTGAGTCTAAATGTTAGTGATAAGAACGCTGGTTTATCATATGATGATTGCTTTGGGAGCCTGCTTAATGGAGTTCTGACTAAAGCAAATGTTACTGATATGACAAGAGAAACAAGAACATCTTCAAGCAACACTGACCTTAGTTATAGCAATACACCAACCAGGAAGAGGATACAAGATATGACCGGAAATGGGTTAAGAGGCCCTTTTAAGAAAATGTGGTCTTTTGAACATTGGCAACCAAGTCTAGAGAGCATTATTGAGGAATGAAATATATTTGGTTGCAGTGGAATCTTTGGCTGTTGATTGTTGAGATATATAGTCCCACGTTAGTTGTATGTGCAACTAATATGGAGTTTATATAAAGCCTTGGGCACTCCCACCCTTTGAGCTAACTTTTGGGGTGGTGTATCCCAAGGTTCTTTACATGGTATCAGAGCCTCGCCGCCCCCACTTTCTCTTGTGGCGTTTCTTAGCACAGGTAGTAGGCTGGGCCTATTACATTGTCCACTCTTCAAGCCCAATGAGCTCTTGTGTGAGGGGGCGTGTTGAGATATATAGTCACACATTGGTTGTATGTGCAACTAATATGGAGTTTATATAAGGCCTTGGGCACTCTCACCCTTTGAGCTAGCTTTTGGGGTGGTGTATCTCAAGATTCTTTACATTGATGATATCGAATAAATAATTTTTTTATTGGTTCTTCATAACACAACCTAAATACTTTAAATACCACAATGCTCCCTCGGCTGCATGGTCAGCTGCTGTTTTCTTTTTTCGTTGAGGGGCACCATAGCACTCTATAATGTTTCTTGATGCTTCTTCTAGCTCAATAATAACCTTGAAGGTGAACCTGTGAAAAAACATCAAGAAAACAAAAAGTTAATTTTATGATCAGAATTCCTTTAATTTCATTCTAAGTGACAAACAGAGGCAGCAAAATAGATTAAAAATATCATGCATTTACAATCACAAAGGCCACTTGTTTTGAGTTTATTCAAATCTTGCATGTTGCCTTGTTAAGCAATTGAACAACTTTCATGGCAAAGAAAGATTGGATCGATACAAATTTTGCAATAGCTGCTGGGAAACACAGCATGCATAGTAAATATCAGCTGGATACCAGCATGCAATGCCAAAAAATCTTGCAAGCAAGAATGAACAGAAATAAATCTGCACGGCATTACATCTTGACTTGAAATGTACAACTGAGAAATCAGCATAGAAAATGACAATTATTTATATACCCCGTATTGTATAATGGGATAGTAGTTCTAGATTACGTAACAGAGAAAAGTTACTTTCCTTTTAATAGAACCTGCTGGGGCATACCAAAATTAAATTTTCACCGTTAGTGTATTTGATTTGGGATAAAGGTGTCGTTGATGTTGATGTTGTAGTGTATTTGATTTATAAAAGGGAGTGAACCGGAGCACTGGTAAAACTATTCCTTCATGACTGAAAGGTCACGAGTTCGAATACAGGAAATAGCCTCTTTGCAATTATACAAGGGTAAGGCTGTGTACAAGGATTTCCTCCACCAAACACTCACTAGTTCGGTTTAACGGGGAGTGGTTTTTTTTAGTGTATTTGATTTATATGAATTTTGATTTATCTGACCTTGCAGCTGCCAACACACAAAATGTGGCCTATGTTACATAGACTTCCAGGAATTTTCATCATTATAAGCAAACAATTTGTCAGTTGTTCATAATTGGAAGCACTCATTTGTGTACAAGTACTATTTAAACACCACAACATATAATTATTCTGTAGGAGCGCATGTACTTATCAAATATAACGTAGCCAGTATACATACATTCTTTGATGACTTGGGCCTTCCTCTTTGTAACATTCAAATATTGGGGGCTTCCAATGGTTTGCAGCACAAGTCTCGTACAAATTTGACCTAGCAGATCCTTTCTTCATACCTAAAATCAAAGGAGTAACATTTTTAATAGAAAAAATAACTTTTTAAGAAGTAGAACTAAGGGGGAAGATATGTCTTCCACCAAAAGAGAATAAATTAAGTCCAAAACAAAAAAAAGTTTATGATGAATTAAATTCATCCAAAGGTTCTCCAAGTAAAACTTGAACACCTAGCATATTCAAACGACAATGGTGAAAATACAATCAAAATTTATAGAAAAATAAATATATTAATATTATGGATACAATTTTATTTACATTTAGAGAAATGGAAAAATCTTTTTATTTTAAAAAACTGATATTTGAAAATTGAAATATAATTTGATTATATTCAGGAAAAGGATGAATATTTAATCTCATTGCACCATTATACGATGGAGAATTCAAAACCACATCATTTTAGAAAAGAAAAATAAATGTTGCTGGGTTAGTTAATTTTAATTTTTTATGAGAATTTTGCAAATATAATTTATATTTTTGAAGAATTCATTTGATTAGTTTTCACTAAATTTTATTATTATCTTTTATCATTTATTTTATGATTTTCAAATTTTAGTATAAGATCAACAAAAAAAAAACCTCTTAACTTTTTTATTTAGTACAAACTTGTACCAGGATTAACAAACCAAAATAAAAGTCGAAGAATTAAAATGAAATAAAATAAAATGAAATAGTTGTCGTAGTTATCTCCCTTTTTAATACTATATTATCAATTTATCATCATCAATGTTTCTACTCCTCAAAAAAAAAAAAAAAAAAAAAAAAAAAAAAAAAAAAAAAGAAGAAGAAGAAAGAGAGAAAAAGAAAAGAAAAGAAAAAGGGAATGAACCTTTACCGTCAAAAGCCAATCAAAGGTAAACATAGAGCATGATGATTTGCCTTCACGTGTCTTTGAGCAAATGTTGTACAGGATTAAAAGTTCCAAGTATTTTAACTCAAAAGAAACAAATTCAAATGGCTTTGTATTCAAAAAAGACTGAACCATTTCATTCTACCAAATGCTCATAATATATATTGTTAGCTAATCCATCCTTAATCATCAGGCAAATTGGGGAATGGAGAATAAATTCCCACATGAAGTAGTGCTTACCTAATCCCTCCTGAACACAATATACGAGTCATCCCTCTGCCCATACAAGGCAAACAGCACATGCCCAACCTTTCTAATGAGTCCAGCATTTTAGTTCAAATACAAATCCCTATATACATCTTATTGGCACTGCAGACTCAACACTAGGCCAATATAATGACTCAATCCTCACACCCAGTGAAATTTACTTTCAAGCCCAAAAATTAATTCTTTTTTTTTTTTTTAATGTGGATATTTACTGAACAAACATGTCTCCTTTTTTTTTTTTTTTTTTTTGCTGCAAAAATTTTATGCTAGGAACCATATATGATATATGCAATATTGGAAAACTTATAATCATAGTCCAATCCTGCACATTTAATTATGGCATTTAGGAAGTAAATGTAGTTATATGGTCCCTAACAGCGATAAACGTGCTACATTAGTCATTTAGGGGGTATTTGGTACATTGATTTTTTTTTTTGGATTCCTGTAAAACTGGTATTAGGAATTCTATTTTCTCACATTTGGTATAAGGTTTTGAAAATCTTTCTAGGAATCTGATTTTTAACCAACCATAAATTATTTTAAATTTATATAATAAACATAATATATATAATAATAATCTGGATACCCCCAAAAATAAAAATAAAAAAATCGATCTAATTACACTTCACGCTCCAAATTTTTGATGATTCAATCAATCCGGGGTGAAAGGGAGGATATGGGATTCTGATTTGTGAACAAATTATATAGTAAAATGACACCGAACAATACCTTCGAAAATTTTTTTTTTTGGATTCCTAGAAAACTGGTATTAGGAGTTCTATTTTCTCATGTTTGGTATAAGGTTTTTGAAAATCTTTCTAGAAATTTCTCTGGAATTTTGATTTGTGAACAAATTATATAGTAAAATGACACCCAACAATACCTTGGAATCCCGGACATGGAGAAAATTTGACATTCACAATAATATTTAACAATTAATCAAATATAAAATCAATAAACTTGAACCAATATTCTTAATAATACTTTTGTCTACCAAACAATTTTTTGGTCACGTTACTCAAAATTCACTCCTCCTCGTATATTCTTAGTAATAATGATTTCGGGCAATCTTTTTTTTTTCTCCTTTATCAAATGCACCCATAAGCCCCCTCAATATGCCAAGGTCATACCTTTTGAACCTTGTGAATGAGGAAAATATAAAGTACTCACAAGAAGTTTGATTCATATGTAAATAAGGAAAATGACTCGGATCACATTCATTTTCCAAAATAGGAGGGGTGTCTAGATGTGTACCAAAGGAAAATAAAAGGAAACAGAAATCTTAGACTAAACGAAAATGTTCCGTACCTTCATGTGCAGAGTCTGTGTGAGTCGGAGAGGTTTTGTTCCCACAGATCTCATTGGTTTTGTTAGATGAAGTTGAAGATTCGTCCTCAACGACAAAGCTTCCCGAAGTGGGATTTTTAACGATGCCTTCATCAGAATCAACCACCTTCATTCCTTGATTGGGGCTCGGCTTTAAGAATTTAGCAGCAGCTCTTTTCCTATAATTGTTCCACTTACCCTGCAAATTAAGGAGGATTCCGACCCATTAAAAAGAAGCGAAATTTGCACATACCCAATTGTGAAAAAAATGGAAATTTATTACCTTGGATGAGAAGTTCATGACTCGAAATGGATCGATTGGAGGAAGCTGTTTGAGATTAACAACTTCTTTTGTTGGGTGGGAGCTTTTGTTGTCCATATTTGTTTGTCTTGTCAGATGCAATAAACAGAGTACAGAGGAAGAGGACTCGTGTTTGTATTGGCCCTGACACCAAATACCAAGTGTTGAGGGATCGAAAACCAAAACAAACGAGTGAACCTACGAGAAGCACGAGTATGTTCTAAGCCTATGGACTATCTATATTTAGCAATTAATTAACGAGAAGACTCTGTTATTTTAAAGAATGTAAAATTGTGTTATTTTAAGATAAAAAAAGAGATAGATAAAGAAGGAGACAGAGTTGACAAAAAAATATAAAGATGTGGATCCCACCTCTTTGTGAGAGTGAAAGAATATAAGTTGTGTCATTTAAAAAGATAAATATTTTTCCCTTAATTAATATAATGCAGATTTAAAATTGTAACAAACAATATAGGCTAATAGATTGTTTGTATCTTTCTGTTCGGTTTGTTAGCTCGAGTTGTTAGCAATAGTTTAAATTTGTATTTAGTTTTAGAAGTAGTTCAGATTTTCTAGCTTATCTAGCCTTTGGTTGTTAAGCGTTACAGCTTTAGGTTTGTTGTTTTTGATGTATTTAAAGCCTTGTACATGATGAATACAAACAAGGAAAACAGCAACTTGATATACGATATGCTTCAGCTTTATTCCGCGTAAAGTTCTAATATGGTATCAGAAGGAACGATCTAGGTCCCTTATATTCTTCTTCCTCCTCTTTATTTAGTTTTTCCATTTTTCGTTTCTGTCATCATGTCCAACACAGAAAACATTGATCCTCCTTTTCACACTCCCCCATCCACTCCTATTCCACTACCGTTTGGCACTGTCCAAACTATAAAAACAACTGATCCTCGTTCTCCTTTCTACCTCTCTTCTGCTGATAGCCCAGGTGTTCTTCTCATCAACATCCTACTAAAGGGTGAATCTAATTATGAGACATGGAGCAGGTCTATGAAAAATTCCCTGGATGCCAAAAATAAACTCGGTTTCGTGATGGGGACTATTGAAGCTCCAACCGAAGCTGCATCAGATGAAGCCCATGCTTGGCGTATGTGCAATTCCATGATCTCAGGATGGATTCACAATACGATTGATCCCCAACTTCGTCCCTTTATCAAATATTTTTCTACTGCCAAGCAACTATGGGATGATCTCAAAGAAAGGTATGCTGTTGCCAACATCCCTCGTATTTACCAATTAAAAAGTCAGCTTCCTTCCATCAGACAGCAAGGCTCTTCTATCAGTAACTATTATATCCGTCTTCGAGCCATATGGGATGAACTCGAGGAACATTATACATCTGACCCCTGCCCAAACGGTACACATTGTCCAGCTACCAAACTTCTCAATACCATTGTGACCAATGATCAAACCTATCAGTTTCTCATGGGCCTTGATGAAGCCACTTTTGGTATCATCCGTTCTCAAATTCTAAACACAAATCCTATGCCCAATCTCAACCGAATTTACTCTATGGTAACTCAAGAGGAAACACACAAATCTATTATCCGAGCCTCACCTGACCGAGTGGATGCTGTAGGATATGCTCTCCAAACTAAGCCACTGCCTTCTCAACCAGCAAGGGCAGCTCTTCCAACCCGTGTTTGCACCCATTGTGGCAAAGCCAACCATGACATCTCCAAATGTTTTTTTCTTCATGGTTTTCCTCCCAAATCTTCCAACAAGGATCGCTTTCGAAACCGCACTCATTCAGCAGCAGCTCATGCTGCATTACTGCCAGGAATTCTGCCAACCCCCTCAAGTGCACATGCTGCGACGTCTCCAGCTCCTTTGACTCCCGATGTTGTGTAGAAACTTTTATCTCTTATTGACAAACCTGATCCTCAAAACTTAACTGGTAATACTTCTCTATCTTCTTGGTTAATTGATAGCGGAGCTTCTCAACATATGACAGGTAACCAAACATTGCTTCATGATCTCCATCCCATCGCTCCATCACCGGTTGGTTTACCAGATGGGTCGACTACTGTTGCACTTCAAGAAGGCACTGTTTTTCTTTCTCCCGAAATAACATTAACAAACGTTCTTCTTGTTCCTAACCTCACTTGCAATTTACTTTCTGTATCCCATTTATTAAAATCTTCTCAAGCTACTATCACCTTCAATGCTTCTACTTGTTTCTTGCAGGACCCCATTCAGAAGACGCTGATTGGATTGGGTAGCTTGGTTAATGGTGTATATGTGTTTCACCCGCCTAAACGTCAAGCTTTCACAACTCATGTTGATCCGGCTTTGTGGCACAAACGTCTGGGTCATCCATCTTATGATGTTCTTACTTTTCTTCCTTGTAATTTCTCAAGTATTAGCAAGAATAAGGTTGCTATTTGTGATGTATGTTCACGAGCAAAAATGACTCGTTGCCCATTTCCTTTAAGCAGTAATAAATCAACTGATTGTTTTCAACTGGTTCATTGTGATATATGGGGTCCGTATAGCATGTCCACAGTCACTGGTGCCCATTATTTTGTTACATTGGTTGATGATTTTAGTAGAACTACATGGGTTTACCTTATGGCTGAGAAATCTGAAACCAAAACTATACTCACTCGATTTTTCGCAATGGTAACAACACAATTTGGCAAGACGGTCCAAGTGTTTAGAACTGATAACGGCACTGAATTCCTGTCTCATTCCATGCGCAATCTATACTCCACACTTGGTATTATTCATCAAACATCATGCATTGACACTCCTCAACAAAATGGACGTGTGGAACGAAAGCATCACACCATTCTTAATGTGGCTCGTGCGCTTCGCTTCCAAGCAAATTTACCTATACAATTTTGGGGTGAATGCATTCTTACTGCTGCGCATCTCCTTAACAGAACTCCAACAAAAATTCTTCAGGGACGTACACCTTATGAACTACTTCATGAACGTCCACCATCCTATGAGCACCTACGTACGTTTGGTTGTTTATGCTATGCCTCTATTCGTCCTAAACCCACAGATAAATTTGCTGCAAGATCCTTAAGGTGTGTTATGCTTGGTTATCCTTATGGAAAGAAAGGTTGGAGATTAATGTGTCTTGCTACGAATCGCATTTTTGTATCCCGTGATGTTTCCTTTCAGGAATCCATTTTTCCCTTTGATACAGACTCCTCACCACGTCCAACAATTCCTCATCCTGTCATACAACTTCCACCTGTTCTCCTACCCACCGCAGCAAACACAGCCTTCCCAGAAAATACAGAAGCTTCTTCCCTTCCTCCATCATCTCCTATTCCACCAATCCAACCAACACTCTCCTCCAACGACAGGGGGAGTTCTGACTCTCCTCAACCCTCAACTGCAGACTCCAGCCTACCCCACCAACTTACGGTCACCAATGATGACATCCAACACACAACTTCACCTGTAGATTCTAGTTCACCTCTTATCATTGCCGACGGTGACTTACAGCAACCTGCCAACCAGCGTCCTCCTCGAAGTCGTCGTCGTCCAAAGTATCTGGATGATTATCAATGCAATCATATTCAAACACATATACATCATTCCAAGTCAACTACTCCTTCAGCTTCTTCTGGTGTAAGGTACCCTATTCAAAATTTTCTTTCTTATTCACCTTTTACTTCCAAACATCTTAATTTCTTAGCAGCCTTGTCTACGGATATTGAACCCTCCTCCTATAAACAAGCCGTCACGGATCCGCGATGGTGTAAAGCAATGCAAGATGAAATTCAGGCACTTCGAGATAATAATACATGGTCCCTTACTTCTCTGCCTTCCGGAAAACATGCTATTCCCTGTAAATGGATTTACCGGATAAAACATAAATCCGATGGCACAGTTGAACGGTTCAAAGCTCGCCTTGTGGTTGCTGGCAATCATCAGGTAGATGGTGAAGATTTTACTGAAACTTTTGCACCTGTTACCAAAATGGTAAGTGTCTGTACCTTCCTTTCAGTCGCAGTTGCAAAGAATTGGGACATACATCAACTAGACGTTAATAATGCTTTCCTGCATGGTGATCTCCATGATGAAGTCTACATGCGTCTTCCACAAGGTTTCCATGCTACTTCTCCACATCAAGTCTGCCACCTCCGTAAATCTCTCTATGGTTTACGCCAGTCTCCACGGAACTGGTTTGCCAAGCTGTCCGCGTCCCTCATCAACTATGGTTCTTTCTGTTCGGTTTGTTAGCTCGAGTTGTTAGCAATAGTTTAAATTTGTATTTAGTTTTAGAAGTAGTTCAGATTTTCTAGCTTATCTAGCCTTTGGTTGTTAAGCGTTACAGCTTTAGGTTTGTTGTTTCTGATGTATTTAAAGCCTTGTACATGATGAATACAAACAAGGAAAACAGCAACTTGATATACGATATGCTTCAGCTTTATTCCGCGTAAAGTTCTAATAAAAATAATTTATCAATATAACGCAACACAAATTGTGTATATTGTTTATGCACTTTGCACAACTAACAGGGGTTCGTAACAGATGCGAGGGTTATAGCCGTTTTTCTCAAATTTTATTGTCTTACTCAATGTACTTATTAATTAATATTATAAATAATAATTGTTATATAATAATTAAAATCATAAATAATGTAATTATGATTATTTTTTTAATATTTAATTTTTTAATCAAATTATTATTATTACGGTAAATAATTTTTAAGTGCTATTTTTGGAATTTTCACAAATATAAAATAATTATTTTATTTTCATCAACAAAAATATAATAATAATAATATTATTATTATTATTTTGTTTTTCAGGGAAAGAATTCACATATTGCTAAACGTCTATGTCAGGTTCATTTAAAAAATTATCAAATTAATTTTATTTTACTGATATAATGTTATTTCATGAATTCTGTAATCATTCGAAATTATCGTGTTATAGTTTAGGTGGTTTATCTGTTTTTGATTTTATTGCTTGTTGCTTTGTCTGATTTAATAATACTGCGTATCCTAGTGAGTTTTACAGAGCCCCGATAGAAAAATATTGAAAGGAAAAAATACTTTGAAGATGAACCTGTCTTCTTTCGTTTCTCGACGGTGAAGTAAGACTAAGCTCATGAGCTTATTATCCTAGATCGGAACAAGTTGATAAATATTTGTATACGATCCTAATCGTCCGTTGTATCACTTTAAATATAAATGTTAATTAGTATCATAAATAATAATAATTATTTAATA